TGTGTATTATAATAGCCTATACAAGATAAATAGAAATTTGCAACTATAAATATAGCACTTCTAATTTGTCTTCCCAAGTACATTCTATTAGTACTATTAGAACAACTTTTATACTATCTAGAATATTAATAGTAGATTCTTGATAATTATCAAATATAATAAAAACTATCATAAGAAGTAAAAGTAATCTCTGATTTTCTTCAAATAAAATATCTTTGATAGTTTCTATTGATCTATTAATTAACTCTGCTACAGTTTATAAATTTGCTATTAGTATAACACATGTATTTTTGGCTAATAACAATTCTGCTTTAAGACTCTTTGCTATATCTAAATCAGCATTTTTGGCTTTACTACCACCTCTATGATATACAGTATAAATTCTTGCAACTAGTATATTTAAGAACCAAAGTATATTTATATTTATTGAATTAACTTCAGTTCATATTGTTAAAATAAATATAGCATTTGCAAATTTATCTTGTTCTGTTCTATTTATTTTATCTTTAAACTATGTACTAAATATTCTCCAATCTTCTATTATAGATTCTTTATCACGCAATTATAAAAGAATATCTCTAAAGGTTTGTTGTTCTTTAAAATCTTCTGATTGTTATTGGATAATGTCGAGTTTATAAACTTCTTAAAATTGTTTATAAACAACAATATCATTGTTTAACAATAAGTCTCGTATTATATTAGTTGTATATATAGGAAAATCAAGTACTGAAGGAAGCTAGCCAAAATCACCAAACAACAAGATCGATCTTCTACCAAAAAGTTTATTTTTATGTTCTAAAAAAGTCTGTCATAGCCATATATTAATTAAGGCAAGCATTTGTTACCCAACCATACTTTTTTTATTAATAATAAAATAATTAATATTTTGTAGTTTGTTTTGCAATTGCTTTAGTTTTTTACTATTTATATTGAAGTTGATTTTAATAGATATTGGAATAAAAAATATTAAATAGATTATTGTCTCACCAATATTAAAAGCCACAACACCTGTTTGAGCAAGTACTAATACAAATGATTTAGATCTAATTCTAACTATCTCATTAAGCCCACTTCTAATTGCTTTAATTAAGTATGATTTTCTTGTATCTGCTATTCCTATTATAATAATTCTTAACAGCTCAGTATAAGAACCTATAAGTATATTATAATAATGCAATTCTATTTGCTTAAAGATTATTATTTGATTTTTATTTAAATTTTAATAATCTACAATGTTTATAATAAGTAAATTTTTATTTTTCTCTGTTTCATTGCTTTCACTACAATTAGATATTTATTGTACAAAGGAGTTTGCTTTTGCAAGATCATTATTAGAATAATTTTGTTTTGCATTACCAATCCAGTCATAGCTTTGGTCTATATCATGAGATTTAAGATCAGAAGAATGATTAGGAATTAAATCAAGACCTACCTTTATCAAAAGCATCTAGTCAAATTGATATTCATCTTGTTTATCATTATCATCAAGTTATTCTTTTTTACTTTCTTCATTAGTATTTATTTTATTTTTATTGTTTTTTATAGGCTGTTTAAGCAAATTATTTGGATCTGCATTAATTTCTTCAAAATATTGATTATATAGAGTCGATTATGAAATAGTATTATTTTGAGTTAGCTATTGAATATTATGATAACAAACATGAAGAAAAACCTTTATACAACAAAACTTCTTCCAATCTGAACCTTCTTGCACTAGTGATAATCATGGTTAGATATGTTTAATATTTTCTTGAGCACATATTTTCTATTGTTTGCTACTAAATTTATGTATTAAATTTAATTTATATAATAAATAATTTTCAAATTTAGAAGGTTAATTCCAATATATTCTTAGAGTCGATTTTGTTGTCTATTTAGCATTTTTAATTTTTCTATTATCTTTATTTTCTTTACTGATACTATGAAGCTATCATGATGATTCTTTATTAAGATTTAATGAAATGAATTGGTGGTTTAAATAATATAGAGAAATTTTAAAAAGTATATAACAGGTTTTTTAAACAGATATATCATACTCTAAAACACTATAGAGCAATATTTCTAAACTAAAACAAGTAGATGATTATCTTGCTTGCTATTATAAAGTACTTGGTTTAAAATTTCTAAAAAAGCAACTAATTTTGGCTCTGCCTTATTTGCATATTTAGAAATATATTGTAATGCTGTATAGATACTAAAAATAGGTTTTAAATCAATATTTGCTCTTTACTCTTGTAATTGAAGTCTGTTATGTGAGTTTAGGTATGAGTTCTGAACAACTATAACTATTATTATGCAAAAAGGTATAATTACTTTCCTCTTTTGAATAACCATATCTGCAGAATTGCTGTTCCAAACAGTTAACTCGAAGACAATAAAAAAGACTACAATGAGTATATTATTGTAACTTATTAACTAATTCTATATAATCTTGTAAGTTGTTATTTAATTCTTTATTGTTTATGATATGGATGATGATCTGGAATAAAGGTATTAGAACCCAGATTAATAGTAGTAACTATGGAATCTATATATTCTACTACTTTATTTAATAATTCTTTATCTTCTTTCATTTGATTACATTTGATTTTAGATGCATTTTGTATTTTTCTAATATTATATACATAAACACTACCATGATGTTGCTATTTGAATCTGTACTACCAGTCTACCAAATTCTATTTCTTTTTTAATATGTCATAAAAAAATATTTCAAACTATTTATTAAAGAACCAAGTAGCAATATGGTAGTTATCAATAATATTTTAATTATAATTTTTATTAGATAGCATAAGTTTATAAAGCTCAAATCAGTATAAGTTAGCAGTACTAAATGTAAAAAATATTAGTTTTTGGAAGCCTAACTGTTTGATTATGTTTGACAACTTATTATGTTTTGTATTTTAGAACTATTTAGATCCATACAAACCCTAACCAAATCTTATAATTTGATCTGCTATATGTTTATCACTTCTAGTGATTTGTTTTTGTATTTTTTCAACCATAATTCGATTATTATTAAAATTTTGTCTTATATATACTTTATCTTCTTGTATTGCTCACTATCTTATTTGAGAATTAAGTACAAAGTATTATTAACAAGTATGATAAGCAAATCTTCTATCTTTATATAGTAATAGATATTTGAAGTACTTAGCTAGTTTAACATCTTTAACATGTTTCACACGAAGATTAGCACATCCAGTCAGATATAAAGTTAAAAATATACACACAATATAGCTAGGTGTTTAAAACTCATTAATAGAATTGTTATTAATATATAGTCACATAATGGTATTACTATTAGTCAGAATTTGATTAATTGCATTATTTATTACAGTTTCTTCTCTATTATTTGAAAGAAAAAAAGATACAAAAATGCTTGTTATCCCACTTTTTTTACTTTCTATATTTGAATTATTATTTATTATTTGATCATACCAAAGTTGATTATTTATAGATCTGTTTTTTAACAAGGATTAAAGAGTTTTATTATTGATTGTAATTTCAGAATAGTAGCGATTATTTGCTTTTAACCAATATAATACCCAGCTAACTTTGTTGTGATGTACTTTAAAATCTCTAAATATTGCTAGATTTTTTTCAAATTGCTAATATACGACAAGTATATTTAATGAAGATAGATACTATGGAAGATATGTAGTAAATTCTTCTATATTTTGAGAAAAATTGATAATATTTCCACTATAACTATGTTGTTCTTCATGAAGCCTATAAACTATCATTACAGAAAAAACTTGTATAATTAATATTTTCTCAATTTCAGTAAGTTCTTGAAGTTTCTTGGTAGTGATCCAAATCGTTAGTTGAAAAACTAACTAGTTAACAACTAGTTAACTAATCAATTAGAAATTTTTTAATCAACTAATTATTGGTTAATTATTTACATAATAAATTTAAAATGTAAAATTTTTTTAGCCAATCAGAATAGTTTAAAATAGTTCAGTTCACTTCACTGACATTCATTTTGTAGAAATAATATTTCATCAACAACAATTTACTGATATTTGTTTAGTAGAAATAACATTTTATTAATAACAATTCACTAATATATTATTTTACTAATATTTATTTTCTATTTTACTGACAGTTTATTTTACCAAAACTTATTTCACTGACAAAATAATTTTGGTTATTATTTTTTTTTTTTTGGCATTAAGGTGATCTCTATGGCCGGGGACTTTTTATTAAACTTATTAACTTCAGGTTATACATTTACAACAAGGGTACATCAAGCCACACGTGTACTTTTGGTACCTAATTTAAGTGGTCCACCTGGGTTCTACACTAGCCGCCATACCTGCAACCTAACTAGGAGATTACTTATTTAAGCTCTCTGATTATTACTAATGAAAGTATGACTAGCCATACATACAACTTTTGGTTGCCTATTTAAGTAGTCTGCTTTAGGTTTCACACTAGCTGCCGTACCTGTATCCCAACTATGGAGATACACATTTAAACCCTCTAGTTACAACTGCCGTCCATTCCTAAATTAACCAAGATGTAACTCACTATTTATATGCTAGATTTTGCGACACCTGTAGATTTCGCTAATTTTGGTTATTATTATTAAGATCAGATTAGAATTATAATTAAAATTAGTAGAATTTATAAAAAAAAATTTGTCTATAAAATAAGTTTCTATAAAATAAATTGTCAGTGAAATAAACTTGTCAGTGAAATAAGTATCAGTGAAATAAACATGTTAGTGAATTTTTTTTGATAAAATATTATGTTTGCGAAATAATTATTAGTAAAGTGATATGTATCTATTTAAAATAATACAGAAAACATGTGATTATTGTCCGAAGCATAGCTGAGGACACTATACTTCTGGATATTCGAAATCTATCAGATCCCGTGATGGTGTCTGTCACGGTGCATAACTAACCAATACTATTCTAGACAATCGAAATCTATATATAATAGTGACTTACATGGCGCATAACTAATTAGTAACTTTCTATTAATGATTATCAGATTCCATCTATTTGAATATGCTTTTCATTTTCTACACTTTCAAGAAACTCTTCTGTTACGTCAACTTCTGCAATACGTACAATGACTCTATATAATATATCTGTATTACCTTCTTTATATTTAACCTATCATGCTTCAATTTTTCACTAGTTAGCCAACCTCAAGATCAGGTTTAACATGCCCTTCAAGCTGCTTCAGAACAAACCTTTTTTATTCCTTCAAAGCCCCGGTCTTCGCAGTTAACACACCCTACTCTAAAAGTATAAATCCTCCAAAACTGAGTCTAAATAACACATGCAGAAGTACTCTAAACTGATAAGACTAATATACCTATTTTTTTCCAACTTGATGCTTTTATTTACTAATATCAGCAGAGTCTTTACCTGGTGCAGGAACATCTTCACAAAGTTCAGAATTACCAACCAAACAAAAGATCACCATTACCCAAGGTAAAAAAATATCAGATCTCAAATTATTGATATATAAACTGTGTCGAAAATTATCAAGAATTAGAGGGGTTAAGCCACAGACACAATCAGGTACGCATATATCCCGAGTTATTTCTTTTATTAAGTGGCTTCTTTAATTTATCTTTTATGTGTTTTACTAGAATATTTGCTAATATATACATTGCTTCTGCTTTATGATATCACTCAAAGGAAGGAAGCATGATGGCTTTAAAAGCAGGAAGAAAGACAACATGAAGAAGAAAAGAAGAGGCAACAAAAAAAAAAACAAGAAAAGGCTGAAAGGGCCAAAAAGCAGCGGTTAAAAGAAGAAGTTAAAAGAAGAAGAGGTGAAAAAACTGAAAAGAAGACTACTACGAAGATTATCACTATGATGAAGCTGAACCTACGAATGCACCGGTTAATAATTATCCATGTAAGTATAAAGATATCATATACTAAGTAGTTTGTAAATACAAACTAAATTTATTAAATAATCAATTTTTATGTTTGAATTATCAAGAATCAGGAGAAGTCAAAGCGGCAGACACAATTAGGTGCGCATATATCCCACCGTTATTTCTTTTATTAAGTGGCTTATTTGATTTATCTTTTATATACTTGACTAAAATATTATCAGTATTGCTACTTTTTACTAATATGTACATTGCTTTCTGTTGTATGATATCGCTCAAAGGAAGGAAGCGTGATGGCTTAAAAGAGAAAAAAGCAGGATGGAAGGCAATGTAAAGAGGAAGAGAAGAGACAACAAAAAAAAAAAACAAGAAAAGGCCAAAAGGGCTAAAAAGCAGCGGTTAAAAAAAGAAGCTAAAAGAAGAAGAGATGAAAAAACTAAAAAGAAGACTACTATGAAGATTACCACCGCAACTGAAGCTGAAACTACGGATGTACCGGTTAATAATTATCTATGTAAGTATAAAGATATCATATAAAAAGTAGTTTGTAAATACAAACTAAATTTATTAAATAATTAATCTTTATGTTTGAATTATCAAAGATCAGGAGAAGTCAAAGCAGCAGACACAATTAGGTGCGCATATATCCCGCCATTATTTCTTTTATTAAGTGGCTTATTTTATACTCTTGACTAGAATATTATCAGTATTGCCACTTTTTTTGCTAATATGTACCATTGCTTTCTGTTCTATTATATTGGTCAAAGGAACAAAGTGTGATGGCTTGAAAGAGAAAAAAAGCAGGAAGAAAATAACGTAAAGAGGAAAAGAAGAGACAACAAGAAAAACAAGAAAGGGCCAAAAAGCAGCAGTTAAAAGAAGCTAAAAGAAGAAGAGGTGAAAAAAAAACTAAAAAGAAGATTACTACAAAGACTATCACCATGACCGAAGCTAAAATTATGGATGCACCCGTTAATAATTATCCATGTAAGTATAAAGATATCATATGCTAAGTAATTTGTAAATACAAACTAAATTTATTAAATAATCAATTTTTATGTTTGAATTATCAAGGATCAGAAGAAGTCAAAGTGGCAGATACAATTAGATATGCATATATCTTACCATTAATTCTTATATTAAGTGGCTCATATAAAAAGGAACTCTCTCCGTTTATCACTCGTACACAAACTCTCTCCAACCTAATTAATTAAAAACAGCTTATAACTTCTTTTTATACTAAGTCAATCTTAGTTCTGCTACTAAATAAACTTGTTCTTCA